CAATCATGCCCGTCCCAGCTAGGAATGTTATGATAAAGCTTGGGTTTACTATTTATTTTCGTCGCCGTCATCCCAGGCTTAACACAATCATTCCCTTCATTCACAACAATCATCCGCTTAGCCCGTTCTTACTTTCCTGGCAATGCTGCCTTTTGCGCAGGTCAGTAGAGTAAACTGGGTTTGACGAGGAGAGTCAAACACTCCTGGGCAAAGCAATTTTCTGGTTTGGCAGACGCATGATGCAGTGCTATACTGAACTATTGCCCCCGACTGGGGTCACCCATGCTTTGGCGGTCCCTTTCCTTGCGGCAACATCAAATGATCTGATCGTGGTTAGAACATCACTGCTTCAGATCTATTCGCTGCATAAAGTTACCTCCCATGCGGAAGGAGCCGACGCCCAGCAGGAATTGACGAAGCTCCTCCTGGAAAAAGAGTATTCACTTTCGGGAACTGTAACTGGTCTTTGTCGGGTCAAGGTTCTCAACAGCAGGAGCGGCGGAGAAGCTGTTTTGGTCGCCTTTCGGAATGCCAAACTTAGCTTGATTGAATGGGACCCAGAGCGTCGAAGCATCTCCACCATCTCCATTCATTATTACGAGCGAGATGATCTGACCCGTAGTCCATGGGTTCCTGACCTGAAAAACTGTGGCAGCATCCTCAGTGTGGACCCAAGCAGTAGATGTGCAATATTCAACTTTGGAATTCGGAATCTCGCCATTATTCCTTTCCACCAGCCAGGAGATGACCTGGTGATGGATGAGTATGGGTCAGACCTCGGGGAAGGAATGTCAACTGACCACGATCTCGGAGGTGGTACTGATAAGGCCAAAGAGGGTATTGCGTATCAAACTCCATATGCCCCGTCTTTTGTTCTGCCCTTGACGGCATTGGATCCTTCCATACTTCACCCGATAAGCCTTGCTTTCCTATACGAGTATAGGGAACCGACCTTTGGCATATTATATTCTCAAGTTGCAACATCAAGTGCCCTCCTGCCTGAAAGAAAAGACGTGGTTTTCTATACTGTGTTTACGCTAGATTTGGAGCAGCAAGCATCCACGATACTACTTTCCGTGTCAAGGCTGCCTAGTGATCTGTTTAGGGTGGTGGCCCTCCCACCTCCTGTCGGCGGTGCTTTATTGATCGGGTCCAATGAATTAGTGCATATTGACCAGGCAGGCAAGACAAATGCCGTTGGAGTTAACGAGTTCTCAAGACAAGTTTCATCATTTTCTATGACAGACCAATCCGATTTGGCACTACGTCTTGAGAATTGTATCGTTGAGTGTCTCGGGGATAGCAGCGGGGACATGCTTTTGGTGCTTTCTACCGGGGAGATGGCCATCGTGAAATTCAAGTTAGATGGGAGGTCAGTCTCTGGGATCTCGGTTCACCTGCTGCCGGCTCACGCAGGCCTTACCTCCATGAATTCCGCGGCAGCTGCTTCAACCTTCATAGGTGATGGGAAAATTTTCCTGGGCAGCGAGGATGGCGATTCGGTGCTTTTAGGCTATTCTTGTTCAACCTCCAGCACAAAAAAGCACCGTCTGCAAGCAAAGCAAGCGATAGATGACTCTGCGGATATGTCAGAAGAGGACCAGAGTGAGGACGATGTGTATGAAGACGATCTTTATTCTACGTCCCCGGACACAACACTTACCGGCCGCCGTCCGTCAGGAGAATCATCTGCTTTCGGGCTGTATGACTTCCGGATGCACGATAAGCTTATCAACATTGGCCCTTTGAGGGACATAACCATGGGAAGGAAGCTACCCACGAACCAAGAAAAGGGAGGCGATCGTACTAATAGTACTTCTCCAGAGCTGCAAATAGTAGCTTCCCAAGGCTCACACAAAAGTGGCGGTTTGGTAGTAATGGCCCGCGAGATCGATCCCCATGTCGTCGCCTCAATTTCACTTGAGTCAGTAGACAGTATCTGGACAGCTTCATTGACTTGGGAGGAAGAAGCTGTGTCGAGAACGTCTGAGAAGATAGGGCAACGATCGCAGCGATGCTATGTTATTGCAACAGAGGCCAAAGCTTCCGATAGGGAAGAATCGCTCATCTTCGTTGTGGATGGCCATGATCTAAAGCCTTTCAGAGCGCCCGATTTTAATCCCAACGAAGATGTGACAATTAACATTGGGACACAGGAAAGCAGAAAGCGCGTGGTTCAAGTCCTGAAGAACGAGGTGCGGAGTTATGACATTGGTAAGTTCACAACGAGCCCGGTGTCGATGTAACTTTTCTGATGGAACAGACCTGGGTTTAACTCAAATATACCCGATATGGGACGATGACACCAATGATGAACGAATGGCTGTTAGTGCCAGTTTGGCCGACTCTTGTCTTGCAATCCTACGGGATGATTCTACGTTATTGTTCCTTCAAGCAGACGACAGTGGAGACCTTGATGAAGTAGTCCTTGATGAGGATGTGGCATCTGGAAAGTGGATATCCTGTTGCTTGTACAGCGATAAAACTGGGTTGTTTTCCTCCATCGATCGAACACTGAGTGAGCCGGTCAAGAACGATATGTTTCTATTCCTACTCAGCCATGATTCCAAGCTCTTCGTAAGTATCATGAACCCACTACGCGAGATTTTCTGCTCTGATCGTCTTCTACCCTGCGTTGATGGCATCTAATGCTTCCCAAATCATCAGGTATATCGCGTCCGCGATCAAAAGCTGCTATCGATAATCGAGGGGCTGGACGGCCTGTCGCCTCTGTTATCCAGTGAGCCACCCAAGCGGTCTGGCACACGTGAAAATTTGATAGAGGCAATCGTTGCTGATCTCGGTGAAACATGGAGTGCTTCGCCGTACTTGATTGTATGCCACCATACTGGTCACTCTAGACCGCCTCTCATCACTAGCTCTGGTGCGCTAACCGAAGCCCTGATAGTTACGATCTGAAACCGATGACTTGATAATCTACAAACCTTTTGTAATTCCAACAGGTCCAAACGGAGATATTCACACCCTGAAGTTTTCCAAAGAAAACAACAGTGTTCTGCCGATGATCTCACCTGATGTCGACTCAACACAGCCCAGTGGATCAGATTATAGGGCTAGGCCACTGCGCATCCTGCCCGATATCTCGGGACTCAGTGCTGTATTCATGCCTGGTGCTTCAGCAGGCTTCGTTCTCAGAACATCTGCAAGTGCGCCACACTTTCTGCGCTTAAGAGGGGAAAGTCCCCGGTGCGTAAGCAGCTTAGATACCTCTGAATGTAGTAGGGGGTTTATCTCTATGGACTCGCAGGTTCGCAATGACAGGATATTTCGTTATATTGATATGCTAACCTAGTGGGCAGAGTACGGTTCGATTTTGTCAGCTGCCCGCTATGACACGATTCGATTACCAGTGGACTTTGAAAAAGGTGCACCTAGGAGAACAAGTTGATCACTTAGCTTATTCCACCTCTTCCGGGATGTACGTACTAGGGACGTGTCATGCAACTGATTTCAAATTGCCCGAGGATGACGAGTTGCACCCAGAATGGCGTAATGAAGGTTTGTGCTCTATCTACCCAATTCAGGGAACCAGGCTGAAACTGTCTAGCTATTTCGTTTTTCCCATCGGTGCGTGGAAGCTTTATAAAGCTTGTTAGCCCCGATACATGGTCTATCATCGACAGGTATGAAGTCATCATCTGCTTTTTTTAAGACTAGGTCATCCTAACTCTTCACTTGCACAGTTATTCCCTCGGCACAGACGAGTACGTCATGGCAACCAAGAACATAAGCCTTGAAATATCGGAAAACACCCACGAACGCAAGGACTTGATCGTCGTGGGTACTGCGTTCGCCCGGGGCGAAGACATACCCTCACGCGGCTGCATCTATGTTTTCGAGGTCGTGCAGGTTGTTCCAGACCCAGACGACCCTGAGACAGATCGCAAGTTGAAGCTTATCGGTAAAGAATCAGTGAAGGGCGCCGTGACTGCCCTATCTGAAATCGGCGGCCAGGGCTTCGTCCTGGTGGCACAAGGACAAAAGTGTATGGTCAGAGGCCTCAAGGAGGATGGTAGCCTTCTCCCTGTTGCTTTCATGGATATGCAGTGTTATGTCAGTGTCGTGAAAGAGCTCAAAGGCACTGGGATGTGCATCCTTGGCGATGCCGTGAAAGGGATATGGTTCGCAGGCTATTCGGTATTGTCCCCATGCTCGGTCACTATGGAACCAACATGAGCATATCAAGCTAACATGTCCGCTTTCTAGGAGGAGCCCTACAAAATGAGCCTTTTTGCCAAGGATTTAGACTACCTTGAAGTGTCCGCGGCTGAATTTCTTCCAGACGGTAAAAGGCTATTCATTGTTGTGGCTGACAGCGATTGCAACATCCATGTATTGCAGTATGATCCGGAAGGTAGGACTGGACAGCCGAAAGGATTACTCAAGGACTCAGCTAATTGCAACAGATCCCAAATCCTCGAACGGTGACAAGCTGCTTAGCCGCAGTAAATTTCATACGGGCAACTTCGCCTCCACGTTGACTCTTCTACCACGTACAATGGTCTCTTCAGAGAAGATGATTTCCAATTCGGACGACATGGATATCGACAACCAGAGCGCCCTCCACCAAGTCCTGATGACCACACAGAACGGCTCTCTTGGCTTGATTACCTGCATGCCTGAAGAGTCATACCGCAGATTGTCTGCTTTACAGTCACAACTGACGAATACACTGGAACACCCCTGCGGTCTCAATCCTCGAGCCTTCCGAGCTGTGGAGAGCGATGGCACAGCTGGTAGGGGTATGCTCGACGGTAATCTCTTGTTTAAATGGATAGATATGAGCAAGCAACGCAAGACAGAGATCGCAGGACGCGTGGGTGCACGTGAATGGGAGATAAAGGCCGACCTTGAGGCCATTAGTGGTGATGGCCTTGGCTATCTCTAACTACACCAACCCTTAAGGAACCTGTTGCTCATATTCTGTACTAGCCCGGAGTGTCGGCTAGCTAGATCAGAAACCGAACTTTCTACGAAAACTTGGCTAGATTGTTGTCACAGATACAATGGGGCAGGTTCTACTCCATGCTCGCATGAAGTAAATTCACGTCAACATGTATATTGTAAGGGCTAGTTCCGTGTATACCTGCAATTCGTTCAGCGTGGATAATTATTACACATTGTAGTTTCCCCATATAAAACCAAAACAGTGCGCACAAAACGCAAGTGCAGTGCATCACAGATACCGACTGATGAAGACAAATGTAACAACAAATTTTGGTACAGGAACGTTCCAGACGACCAGCCGAGCAATACTCTTTCTTCGGTCCCGTAGCCGGCGAAAATAATTACCAGACAAAACCTCCTTTCACATATATGCAACCAGAAGAAGAAGAAAGCAGGATGATGGAAGAAGGACGGCAACCTGAGAAACAGAAATGAATAGGGAGCCGAGTCCGAGAAATAGAGTGGAAGAAAGGTGTTAAAAAAGAAAAGAAAGAAAAAAAAAGGATAACCGAAGAGAATCACGCCCGAAAGGCGCAAAGACCAAAAGCCGCTTCCTATCCGTGACTCCATCGCGCCGCGACTTATCCTTACCAGGGAAGGGTCGTATAAATAACCGTACATCCCAAGACCCAGATGGGAGGGGGAATAAATAGAGAGGAAGAGAGAGAGAGAGAGAAAACAACCCAGATAAAGACGAGAAAGTATAGAAGCGAGACAGGAGATAAGGGGAACGGAGCGTGGTGGAAGAAGGATGCGTGAAAGGGCAAACAGGAAGATGGAAGTGACGGACTAGGCTGGTGTCTGCCAGAGGAAGAGCTCTGGTGCATATTCAACCAGCCTGCCAGGCAGTGTGGGCGAACGCAGGATGCACAAGCAATCAAAGAAACAATTGGAGCAGTTGCTGGAGTCTAGGAAACTGCTCTCAAGCCCGACTGCAGATGCATGAAACCAACCCCGATGGCTCTCATCACCCATTTCATCGTCAAAAGACATCTTCTGCAGCGAAATATCGTTTGCTTCGTCCGCGCGCAGCAACAAACTTCACTTCAGGTAGGTTTGTATGGTGCACTACATGTGGTCGATATACTGCATCGACTGGTGCTTGCCAATCATCCAAGCCCAAGGGGAAATACTCATATAACAAGTCAGCGCTCTCATTTGGAAATGGGAGCGTCGAAGCGAAGGGCTGCTGCATATTGGTATTATTCAGTAAGGGTAGAGAGGACGAGCTTCGCGATTGTGTTTCGGGTAAGCCATGAGACAACTTGCGCATCTTGGCCGGAGGGGCTGCAGAATTATCCATGTTCATAAGCTTGTGTGACATATCATTTGTATATGAGGAGGCCGGCCTGGCCGAATCAGCTGGGTTGACCGAATCATTGCCATCATCATCTTCGAGGAGCGATAGATTGATGGGGGCAGCAACTGGATGTCGCTGGGCTTCTGTAGGCCGTGAGAACTCCGGGCTAGACTGAGTATATACCGTCGAGTGAGGCAAAGTCGTCGATGGATGCGCACCGCCAACGGGAGGCGGCACTTGCGCCCAATCCGGGGAAGCTTGTTGGCCAACTACACCACCTTGGGACGTAGACGTCTCTGGGGAACTGCTCTTCAATGTGGCTTTGGCCTTGGCCGGTGCATGTGGCGCAGAATCACCGGTTGGGGTTCGGTTGACAGCAGCCGACTGAGCTGCTTGTGCGCTTTTGCGCGACGCCGCAGCACTATTGCTCAATGGCAAGTCCTTGCGAGACTGGAAATTGCGTGGGCTCCGGCCCCGGACTATGACAGGGCCTGACTGTACCTCGCAGACTGGTATCTTGGCACCGGTAGACAGCGTAGCTACAACCTTCAAACGAATAACGAAGTGTTGTTGGAGCTCTTTTCTGCGCCCATTATTCGCAGTAGCAACGCGGAATTGAAGTCGTTTCCAGGCAATAGGGAAGGTGGCGTAGTCCGTATCAAGGTCTTGTCCGGCCATGATATCTAATGGAATCGGAGGTGGCTCCTTTTCAACCTTGATAGTAGGATTGTTGCTATTAGGGTTACCGCCGTTTCCGCTGGAAACATTGTTCCCATCTTCAGCTGTAGGATTCACATTTGCGGCGGGTGTCTTCCAAGGAACCGAGATTATCTTGACGGAATTGCCTTCAACGGACTCCGTAGCAGACACAGTGAGTTCTTGGGCCAAAATAGGGATCCGGTCGCCTTGCTCCGTCATAATGTAGCGTAAGCTCCGTGGGAGGGTAACAGAGCCTGTTATCTGAAACAGGTTTCGGCGGTAGCACGTCAGCTCCGCTCCCTGCTGAGGCGGGGCATTCTCGGCAGGGGATGTGGTCCAAGGCGACTCTGCAAGAAAGAACATGCCGTGCAGCTGAGCAGAGAGCGATATTGAGGTGCGGCGTAGAGAGTAATCTAAGAGAGTGAAGCCGTACGCAGGCATGGAGAAGCTCAGTAGTTTATTGTTATGATCTATAGAATCAGGAGGTTGCTCGGGCGGCGCAGGTTCGAACGGAGCGACCATGTCTGTAAACGGATCTTCATAACCAGAAGGAAATCGTTTCAACGATGCGGGAGGTAAAGCATGTTGAGAAAATGCGATGTCGTCCCCACTAGCGGGATTGTATGTCAGACGCGAACTATGGAGGGAAGGATGTCAGCTCAACTCACCTCACGAATGTTTCGGAGTCGAAATTAGAACGTTGTTCAGGCAGGTCCATGCCGGACATTGAATTGAGGTAATCGGTGCTCTGCATATTACCGAGCGATAACGGGCTGGCCAGGTAAGGCATAGCCATGGTATCAAAGCCCTCCATGGCGGGGCGGCAGGACACGAGGCGTTTAGGACAACCGAGATGATTGAGGTAAAATCGGTATCTTTAATATGCCGGGAAGCGTTCAGACTCAATAGGTAGAAGAGGCCGGATGAAAGTGCATGAAGAGGTCGACGAAGGACAAAGTTCAAAGACGAGTCGATATCGGCAAGGATGAAGCAGAATGGTCGCGACGAGCGCGGAGGACGCGGGTTAAGCTAGAGGGGGGAGAGTACATGGAAGGGTTGGACCCAAAGAGAAGCCAGCCGCGGACGTAACTGGCGCGATTTGGGGACAAAAGAAGACGAGGAAGGAGGAGGGGAGTAGATCACCTAAAGTGGGATAAGAAAGAGTAATGGCAAAGTACCGGGAAGGTACAAGGGAAGAAGGGGAGAAGGGGAGAAAGAGGTGGAAGAGGAGGAAGAGGAGGAGGAGGAGGAGCAGTAGTGGCGGTAGTTGTAGTTTGCAGCAAGTAGTAGCAAGTAGGAAAAGATCATGAAGAAATGCGGAGTGTAAGTAAGTAAGTAGTAGGAGTAATAGAAGTAGTAGTGGTAATAGTGATAGCAGGAGCAGCAAGCAGCCACCGCCTGGAGTGGATCGGATTCGCCCGAAGTCAGTGCATTTGGAGAAAGCAGCTTGTGGTTGGTGGAGACGGGAGTGATTCCTCAGGGAAAGAGCGTCCAAAGAAGTTAACGATTCACTAGACAAGATCCGGAGCGAGCCTAGGCTGGCATGGATGGGGATTTCGGGAGGAGATAAGAGAGGCAGGGCCAGGCAGACGGACCCGGCGATGGGGCCGCAGCAAGAGCCAGCAAGAGAGGGGCGGATGGTGGAGAAGGGGAAAGTGAGAAACAAAAAATAAAAAAAGGGTTAGAAAATAAAAGAATAAAAAATAAATAAAAAATAAATTAGAAAAGTAAATAGAAGAAGAGAAATAAAGAAAAAAAATGAACAGGTAAGAGGAGAGGAGAGTGGAGTGGAGGGGAGGGGAGGGGAGGGGAGGGGGGAAGAGTGGAGGGACTGGAGACCAGACAGACAGAGAGCGCGCGCGAGAGAAGAGCGAGAGAAAGAGCTGAGACGGACTGGCCAGACGTTTCGGGGATTTGGCTCACAGTACGGATAAAGTACAGAAGTCAAAACGTCCACTTTTTTCTTTTTACCTTTCCCTGGATCGAGTTTAGCTTGAAGGGAATTACCTAAGGTACCCACGAATGAAGACAGCACATTCTCAATTCGGTTACTTTACAGTTACCGAAGGGGTTTTAAGTTGAACAAGAGAAGCTGATACGCTGGACCCGTGTGGATTACCACGCTCTCAGACCAAAAAGCATCTGAACAAGCTGAGATCCCGTTTGTTGCTTCTTCCTCGGATTACTATGCGGAGCACATCCAAGGTTAAGATCAAATGAAAGAAGAAAAAAGAAAGAATCCACCTCCGTGAAGCCGAAGACGGGTATTTGGGATCGGTATTGCAGCCCGCAACACTCCTAATTCGTCAGAAAAGAGAAGGACTCGGAATCACTTAGTAGTTAATCCACTGAAAGAGAGATACTCATTTGCTCTTCATTTTTCACACATCCCTATTCTTTCGGGTTGTCTTCCTTGCTATTCATTTTTCTTTTTATTTTTATCTGCTTTTGTTTTGCCCTCTTTGGAACCCCTCGATTCGTATTTCTGCAGAAATGGCAATAAAAGAAAAAAAAAAAAAAAAAAAAAAAAAAAAAAAAAAAAAAAAAAAAAAAAAAAAAAAAAAAAAAAAGAAAGCCCCAATAGAAGTTTGATCGGAGACAAAGACAGCAGACAGGACTACCTACACTACACTACAACAAGACCGAAATCTGAAATTTTGAGAAGTTTCTTTGACACTTCCGATGAAGACCGCATTCCCTCGTCTTTGAAGAGCAATTGTCCCGATAGGTTGTACACTAGTATGCTCTAGCGTTCCCGGGAAAATCATTAGGCTACGGCGCACAAGATGACAGCTACTAGGTCAGGGATGGTGCCAAAGTTTGTATGAAGCTGTAGAACTGCTGTGAGTCAACAAAGTGGCATACCTTCATCCCTCTCTGATCAGGAACAACACAATGTTGATCACGTGTTCAGGAGCTACTGGTCTACACCAGTGTTATTGTTGATTTTTGCCCGCCGTTGGTACCTGGAAAACGGGAGGTATTGTGGACGTTCCTAATGCGGTACTAGTTGTGGTTGAGAAAGGCTACAGATTATGGGTTCTGTCTACGAGTATCTCGGTCCCTGAGGCCCATGTAGGACCTGCCGGATCAGGTGATGCTTGTCCAGCAAAATCCGATTTGCATGCAGCCGTTGCGTGAAAGAGACATTCGAAGTACTAGTCACTAGTCTATGAGTACTTAGGACTTGCTTCATAGGAGACCCACTATAACCCGGGGAATTCAGGGTCAAAGCCTTACTCTATAGGCCAGTTTTGTCAACGGTTCTGCCAATCTTAAAATATGAACACCTACGACTGCTGTTTTCGGGATGATGAAGATGCTAGTACTTACCGAGGTATTGAGTGGGCTGTTCTCTACTAGTTCAGGGAGGGTAGGTGAGGGTGGCCAAGGAACAAAAACAAACACAGTGTATTCCGTGAGAGAAGAAAAATTATAATAATAAGTATAACAAACGTGGTCTCATTTTAAATAAGATAGACTCAAACTTTCTCGGCTAACATCGGCCGAGGGAAACACCAGACCCCTCTTTTAAGGCGGCCTGAAGTTGGGGCAAATGTTGATGATGGGCTATGGCTATGCTACTTCTGTGATACAGAATGCCATGTAAAATAGTACCTAAAGAAAGAGAACTTCCAAGTTCAAGGGTTTTGCGTAGCTGGCCAATCTCAATCAAGTCCGTTCCGGACCAGTAATTAATACCTAGTACTTACTAAGTACTCGATACAGGGCCTCGCCTAAGTGCGGTTTCGGCCTTTACCAACCCAGGTAGTAAGCTCTCAAAATATAGAAAATGGAAAAGAAAAGAAAATGATTGATCCGGCGATGTGGCCATAACCTGTATGAGGTAATTCCAATAGCAATACTGTTTTGGTTGAACGAAGATGGTTGGTTTGGTAGATCACCTTTCCCAATGTCTTCCGTCATCAGTGATGGATTATTTCTCCGACCCCAGCCATCGAGACGGCCAACCATCGCTGGGTAAAGCCAAGTATACTACTAGTACCTGTGTCTTGAGCACAGTAGAACCCCTGACACATGCAGCGAAAACAACAAATTTACATGGATACAATGTTTTTGTGTAGTAAGTAGTGTCCGAGATGGGTAAGTACGCCCGGTCTAGCCGATTTATGTGATTCAATCAATCAACCTTGAAGTCCGGTCGCATGTATATCGATTTTGTGAAGTTCCTTATCAACATATACTTAGAACTGACTTGCTAATTTCTCACACGTAAAAATCATCAGCAGCAGGATTTACTAAAGTTCCTAGCTGAAAGCTTACTATAGCACGAGTATTGCTACTTGGAGGGCATATAACCCAAATGCATCAATTCATTCTATTCTATTATTATCATTATTATTTCTTCTTACTTTTCTTTGTTTAATATGCTTGTTTCTCCTCTGCATACATCAACAATGCTCTTACAGGGGGGTTATTAGCCAAAACGCTCGTGCGAGAATCTAGAAATCAGTAAATAACCCACCCGCAACACTCGGAAATGTGGCCCTGGGCTAACGGGGCACCCAAACCCACAAATCTAAGTTACATGGTCAGAAATCAAGGGATTTGGAGTGATCACTAGCATACTACTAAGTGAGTACTAGGGTTGTGTAACGAGTACTTGAAAAAGCTCTATTGTCTGTATTAGTGCTGCTCACCACTGGTTTCTCCGCATGCAGTCTCTCAAATAAGTACTGGGATCCCTTGTACCCAAAGTGGTTTACCCATCAAACAACACAAAACGCATCTGGAAATAGTTACTAATTTACTGCACACCTGGGATAGGGTCTCACACACACAGTACTGTATCCAGGGTACCTGTCTACAATTCAACAGACCTTCAGCTGAGAGGTAGGTCCCATGCCTTCATCGTCGACTACAAGAACATCATCATCATCATCATCATCATCATCATCATCATCATCATCATCATCATCATCATCCTTTGCCCAGCTTTCCGAGCAGTCTGCAGTGAGAGGTTCCAGTGGCCACCATTGAAGGGGGGGCCGGTCCTGCTCAGGAGGCAGTTTGGAAACATGATTGGCTATGATCGAATGAGATGTCTCAGTCTCTGGGACAAAGCCGGATTAGCCGCGTCCGAAGGTTGAACCGCAAATTGCTCGTTCTTGAACCGGGGGCACGAGCTGCAGAGTAATTCGAGTCTAACTGATTCTAATAAGCTGCGTTTAAATTTGCGCTAACCAAATAAAGCTAGTCGTGGGAATTTGGGTATGCAGCTATTCCACTCAAGTATCTGCTTAGTACGGAGGTGTAGACCTGGGGGTGTGGGCCCACCAAAAGTGATTGCCATCATTGAGAGTTAGTAGGATTGTTCGAGGCAATTGGATTTCCCCCTCTTATGGTTCCGGGGCGAAAATGCCTCAATGTGTGTATGTGTGGGTGGGTAGACTCTTTCATCGAAACAATGGACACATTTGATGAGAGCAGAAGAATATTAAGCCTCTTAGGACACCTGCAAGTTGCAGGACTTATGGGGCTTAACTGCGGGGTCTTGGAACTACAGAAGAGCTTGCATAGTGTCTTCCCTGATTGTAGAATGAAGAATGAAAAAAATAAAAATAAAGAACATAAAAATGAAACTTATAATAATCATATTGTTATTTATTTATTCGAGATATATCTATAGGGAGGGAAATGATTGAATCACCAAAAAGAAACAAATCTGGTATGCAAGGGGACCGATCAATCCGTTGAAAATGCCTACTGCTTCGTGAACCTTCCTTCCTACACGTATTTAGTTACTTGCTTACGGTACGACCTTCTTCCTTCCCTCCACATAGAAGAGGCAAATCACCGACGGGAAGCAATAGTAAGTAGGAGCAAGTGTGTGACAGGCTGACAGGATCACAAGCCAGTCCTTGTGGGACCAAGTCCAAAGTCAAAAACACCTGCAGCCTTTCTCGCAGTTTTCTTTCGTCGAGGACCCCCCCTCAGGGCGTCCTTGGCACCAGCCT